CATCCACTATCGCGACAAGTGGGACCGTCTCCAGGAAAGTCCTTCAGGAGATCGACATAAATGTCAAGGAGCTTGAGCTCAATTAAGTCCCACTTAGCAGGTGTAATTGTGCCATCCGGGTCATTTTCATCAATGACTCCCATTATTAAAGAACCCTTCAGCATGTCGCTAAAGGATTTTGCATTTGTGGCGTTGCCACGAAATTTTGCCTTTTTGGCATCAGGTTTTGAAGCTGACTCATCTAATGAGCGCTGTCGCTTCGTAGCAGGTTCCTGCTTGTCCTTCGAGGTATCGAGGACCTGCTTAGCCCAGGCAATCCTGGCCTTCATAGATTCGGATGTAACCGAAATATTGCCGTATCTTTCGAGCAGTCTAGTCGCCGCTCGGCGTTCCTTGTAACTCCTCCTCCCTGGAGGGCCTGACCGAATTTGTGGTCCGGAGCGTATCGATACGTTTTGTTTATTATTATTTGAAGGCACCTTCTTATTACCACTGGAAGTCGCGGTAGGTACCTTATTTGGACACTTAGTGTCCGAAGATTTGGAGCTCTGTTTAGCCGAGCTCTCCGCTATAGAATTTTTATTTTTATTATTTATTGGTTCATTCATATTAAAACCCACGAGTTGCGGAGAAGGGAAGGTCCATCCGGGAAGAGATCCGCAATACCCGGATAAGGCTAAATTACAACCGGAGGGCGCCAGTTATCCGGAGGTCTCCGTTTAAAAACACACTGACGTAGTGCTATTCATCTCATCGGCACGGGTCGAATAACACCGGAGATTACGGGTTTTATCGAGTTTTCCTCTCTAGATCCATGATGTTCTGTTATGCCGACATGATAGCCAACATGAAAAAACAGGTTCACCTCGAGAAGGATGTGATAATATATCACGCATCATGGTCTTGATATGGCATAGGCTTAAGGTATTTACATACTGTGTTACGCATAACCATATCCCGTTCAAACTAGAACACGAACCCTAAGAGTCTGTGTTATAACGCAAAATTTATATAGAAATGTGATATTAAAAGTTATAGTTTATAAAATTTCTGTTATAATGATTTTACCCATTAAACATAAAAACTTACACGTAAACCTTTATACACAGTAAAGTAAAGATACTTTTTAAATTTATCTACCTGTAAGCACACAAAGCAAACTTATAGTATTTAAGCTAATAGAAATAAAACTTAGCACAGCTATCTATATTGGGTTAAGGCAAACAATATCAATAGATATATAATGAATGTATAGCAATGAATGGCAATAGCAAGTCATAACCATATAAAAATTTCTGTGTAAATGATATATAATTTGTATTTAAAACAACTACATATGTAATTTAATCTATTAGTGGTATCATTCACTAAAATATGTATATATTAAATACAAGTACATAATTTTTTAGTTTGTTTTTAATACATATATAAGTTTTCAGCAACAAGAAGACAGACATGCTATCCAGAAAGGGTCCTTCAAGTAATTAGTCGAAACAATTAAAAATTTAAGGCATATCGGTGACACCATGTTAATATTTTTTGAATGTGTTAAACAATTTAAAAAAATAATTTGAAAATTCCACGTTATGCTGGCATCCATATGGAATCTCTATATGCGGTCTTTTAAGGAAAAATCTAGTACTTTTTTTAAGATGCCACGCAAATATATTAGTTTTAGTTTTTGGTAAGTTTGTTGCGTATCACAGCAGATTTAGGACCAGTGCTAGTAGATTGCATCTTCCGTTTAATTATTTTTGTCTCTGTTGTAGAGAAGACGATGAAAGTGCTTCATTTCTTTATTTGAGGATCTTGGCCCACTCCAAGACTTTCGATTAAAAAGCTTTCAGACTTTACCAAAATCAATCACTCTTGTCTGTTGTTCTAAAGATGACGATGCAAATGCTTCACATCTTTTTTTAAATATCTTGACCAACTGCAGAACCTTCCATTAAAAATCTTTTAGACTCTACCCAAGATTCAAGGTGGTTCCTAAGGCTTTAAGTTTCTTGAAATGGAACACAATGGGCCAATAGGCATAAATATATCCTAAAAATCCTTAGGATCGCCGGTATAACCTAATCCAATACAATTTTATTTAATTTATGTAAAAAGGTGATTTTTAACAGCCTATACAGAAATTTTAATAGTATAAGAAATAATTATAAAGTTGGGTTGTTTGGTATTGTAAGATTAGATCTGTACCTGAATTTCAAGCGCTTATTTTCAATTTTTTTGCTGATCATTTTTTTCCCACTAAGATACTAGAAAAAAAATATAACCAATCTGATCAATATAACCAATGTATATATTACAACATGTTAGCAACTATCGAATAAAAGATTTTGTTTCTATATAGATCTACAATTTCAAGTTGATATAATACATTTTTTTTCCATATAATATAGAAAATAATCTATTATTGCTTAAAAAATTTGCACAGAGTTTCTCTTGAAATGTAAATATAAGACAACTGTTTTTGTTTTCCGAAAATATTTCAGAATTGTGTAAAATATAAATATTTTTAATAACATTAATTGAAAATATATCAATAATATGAAATAAATCCAACTGGAACACAAACTAACCACATACGCGGCTACGCCTATTAAAGTGGAAAAAAGTGAAGTGAAATATTAAAAGAGCCATAAACCAATACCGACTCATACGCAAAAGCCTACGTTGCCAACAACGCAACTGACAGTTCTGGGATACAAAATATCAAAAAGCAAGAAACGAAAATAAATAAACGAAAATTTCGCTTGAAAAGAGGGTAACAGCGGAAGCGATTCAACAAAACGGAAATTGGCTTAAAAATGTCAACGGGTGCAAAATTTGTACAACAACAAAATTGCACAAATGTAAAAGTTAAAAAGAAAATTTACAAAAAACAAAAAATCAAATACGCATGCATCGTTTATATTTGGCGTGTACCAACAATGCCAATAATAAAACAAAAAACAGCAACAATAACCTATATCAAGTATGGTACTGCACTACTACAAACACAACAAACACAATAAATGGCAAAAAGAGTAAAACATTTAACAACTCAACTCCAAATTGTCATAGTGAATTTCTTTCTCAGTGATAACTGTTGTTCACTTGTTCGGTTAAATTTGTTTTTGTTCCTGCTATTCACTTTGGTTGTTGAATTGCTTTTGTTGTTGTTAGTGTTGTTGGTGATGGTGTTGTTGTTGGTTATAAGTTGTTGGTCATTTGATCATATGCTTGACATTCGGCAATGCTTTTCATGTCTCGTAACAATGTTTTAATGCGGAAGATGAATGTGGTCAATATATATTTGTTAAATGTGTTGTTGCTGATATTGTTGTTGTTGTTGTTATCATTGTTGTTTTCATATGAAACTTTGTTGTCGTTTGTGTTTTTATTGTAAAAGGCACTAGTATTGTGCTTGTTGTACTTTCTGTTATTTGTGCTTGTATGCTGTTCCCATATCGTTGTTTTATATTTGCTCAATTCTGTTTGCATTACAACGAGCTTGCCTTTTACGTGGTAGAGTCAGCACTCTGTATATGACTGTGTGTACATATTTTTTGCGTGGAAATGCGTGTAAGCAAAAATACTGTGCTCATGCTGAAGATGTTTGCTAGGCAGTGCAAGGCAAAAATGGGTAGGAATGCATGAAATTGCTAATTTGTTATTGTTGTTTTTGTGTAAAAAGGAATAGCATCGTATGCAACTGCTTATTCATTTTTATTTTTATGAAACTTTGAGGTTTTAAACATTTTAATTTAATGGTAAGAAAACTCTTTTGCTTTTTATTTAATAAAATATTTGTATGTATACATATTTTAGGTGTTACATGTGTAAAAAAAAAAAATTTTAAAAATTATAAAAAATAGATATGAAGACTTTGTTCCATATTTCAAAAATTGCATACGATGTGGGTACAGAAATGCGATATTGGAACTAAAAACTACAACTTAAAGAGTCTGCATTAGAGATAATGTCCAAAGCAATACACAATTATTGTGTAAAAATTTTTCATGTTTTTGCCTAAATTTGAGAGAAAGCTTTTTAATTTAAAGCTTTTATTTTTCTTTCACTTTTTTACTACAAATTGAAGTTTCTTTATTAACTTGGCTTTAGTAATAAAAATCGGAAAAACATTAACTATCGCATTCTCAGTTACGCTTTCAGTTGACACATGCGAGAGAAAGCTCTTTAGTACAAAGAGAGCTTTCTACCACAAAAGAGTAGCCGCAAATTTATTTATTTATTACTGAGCAACATAGTTTTGACCATGTTACGTGAGAAACTCTTGTCACCATCACCAATATTACAATTATCCTCTATCTTTCATTTCCAATATTTTAATCTACATTGAAAAAGACAACTTTAAATTTGACGTGATTATGATTTCTATATAATATGGCTGTTAATATTAACTATCTATTTAATAGCTATCTCCATAGCTATTAAATTTATCATTTCGATCAGATTAACCTTGTCGTATTCCTATTCCATCATTCATATATTTTCTTTTCAAACATAATTTTAACTGTGTGTGTTATCTCTTTGTGTTATCTCTTTTTTCTTTAAATTGTCCTACTTACTAGTGACTAATGTATGGTTTATTACGCATTGCAGTATACACGTAGCCTATTTTAAAAAGTTTCCAAAATACAGTCTTCTTATATGAGGCCCATGTACTTGTAACTGTCACAACAATCTTTTGTTTCCTAAATGGTAAGCATTTTAGTAAGATCTGGGTGTTCCGTATTGCTCGTAAACATCTGCTAACTGTTTCTTATGATAGTTTTAATGCTTTTGCCATTTGCTGTTGAGTTTTAGTTAACGAATCATCTTTAAATAACTCTTGCAAATGCTAGTATTCGCACTTTTGCGGTCTACGAGTGCGCTTACTGTCTTTCACTTAGAAATCACTACTCTTAAATTGTCGAAACCAAGTCTCACATGTTCTAATCGTTATATCGTATTCACTTTGTATGACCACTGAATGATTTAACAAAGACGCTAGTTTTTTGCGAATATACGTTAATGTACTTTAATATCAGACGACCAATATGACGTGTGTCTTTAACTAAGAGTTTAACATCTCTTAGTTAGACTTATACATTCACCTGATACTTCAAATTACACTTCCCCATTGTCAACGAAGAACATTATAATAAAGAAACATCTCTGCTTATCTATTTTTTGTATTAATAACCTTACAATTGTACTAATAACCTAATAACCTTACAATTGAATTCAGTAGACAGCGTTTATTTATTGTTAAAACATATTTTTTTCTGTCTATTTGCCGTAATTCCTTTGCAAAATTCCTTTAAAACAAGGATTTTCCATAATAAAATGATTTGAATCGTAAAACGTTATGGGATTTGTATGAAATGCATCATGCTACAAAAAAAATACCGGAGAATCGGCCAGAAACTCTACTAAAATTGTCATATTACAGAATAAAATTACGTGGCGTATGAGTAACAAAAGTTTTGTACAAAATCCCAAAGCGTTGCCGATGCAAATGTGTTGATTATGCCTTGCGGTTCAACGACAAAATATTTTTTCGTTATGAAATCGTTTTAAAAAAAATTAAATGAAAATTTTTAATAATAATTCATGT